ATTACACTATTCTGTTTGATTTTTGCAGCTTTCAGAGGGGATAGGGGATTGTTTTGGTAGAAAAAACACTGCATTTAGTGTTCTGTCTAGGGCCTAGTCCACAAAGACACGGGTATTTTTATAACTTGAGTTTTTCCTCCTTTGTTTAAAAGAAATCTCTGTCCACATGAAAACGCAAACACGCGCTGTCAAGAGCATGCCAAACCACCTTGTGCCGATATGGCTCTAACCGTAAAGCCACGGTGGCCAATCGGAGCCTAATAAAATTTTAAACAAAGCAGGCAGTGGTGCACAATCTGACATCAAACACTCTGACATTGCAAGGCAAAACCCTGGTTTTACTGTCTACACGACAGCACTGCAACCGGTGTTTCTGAAAGTCCTCACCCTGGCAAGGCTTAAAAATGTTCGGTTTCAGTGACTGATACAGTGTTTCTGTGTGTACGAACGGCCGAACGGCCTAAAAAAAAAAAAAAAATTAGTCATTGTTATGAAAATACCCGTGTTTGTGTAGACGTACATTTCAGTTTGTACATGTTAACGATGAGTCCTCCATGCACACCAAAGTTACTCATGGAGTTCCTCAAGGATCTGTCCTTGGACCAATCCTCTTCACTTTATATATGCTTCCTTTAGGCAATATTATCAGGAAACATTCCATAAGCTTTCATTGTTATGCAGATGATACTCAGTTATATCTATCGATCAAGCCAGATGAAACTCATCAGTTAGCTAAACTTCAAATGTGCCTTCAGGATGTTAAAACCTGGATGACCTGTAATTTTCTCATGTTAAACTCAGATAAAACTGAAGTTATTGCTCTGGGGCCTAAGCACCTCCGTGACGCATTATCCAAAGATGTAGTTTCCCTGGATGGCATCGCCTTGGCCTCCAGCACCACTATGAGGAATCTTGGAGTTATCTTTGATCAGGACATGTCGTTTAAGTCTCACATTAAGCAAATTTCAAGGACCGCCTTTTTTCACCTACGTAATATTGCGACATCCTGTTAACATCCTGTCTAAAAATGATGCAGAAAAACTAGTCCGTGCATTTGTTACTTCTAGGCTGGATTACTGCAATTCCTTATTATCAGGCTGCTCGAAAAAGTCCATTAAGAATCTTCAGCTGATCCAGAATGCTGCAGCACGTGTTCTGACAGGAACCAGGAAAAGAGATCACATTTCTCCTGTTTTAGCTTCTTTGCATTGGCTTCCAGTAAAATCCAGAATAGAATTTAAAATCATTCTTCTTACCTACAAAGCTCTTAATGGTCAGGCACCATCTTATCTTAAAGAGCTCATAGTACCTTACTACCCCACCAGAGCACTGCGCTCCCAGAATGCAGGGTTACTTGTGGTTCCTAGAGTCTCCAAAAGTAGACTAGGAGCCAGAGCGTTCAGCTATCAAGCTCCTCTCCTGTGGAACCAGGTTCCAGTTTGGGTTCAGGTGGCAGACACCATCTCCACATTTAAGAGTAGGCTTAAGACTTTCCTCTTTGATAAAGCTTATAGTTAGGGCTGGCTCAGGTGAGTCCTGAACCATCCCTTAGTTATGCTGCTATAGGCCTAGACTGCCGGGGGATTTCCCATGATGCACTGAGCTCCTCTCTCCTCTACTTTCTCTCCCTCTGTATGCAACCTCATCCCATTATTGCATGTTACTAACACAACTTCTCCCCTTTCTGGTAGTCTTGTGCTTTCTCGTCTCTCTCCTCTCTCCTCCTATCACTTCCTGCAGGTTTTCTGGCTCAGGAGCTGTGGAGTCTGGATCTGTGGTTGCGGGTCACCTGCTGCCCCGTGTTCCTGCTCGACACCCTCTGCTGCAACGACTATTGTTGCTAGTCTTATTGTTATTATTGTTATTATAATCATTAACATTACGATGGTTACCATTAACACTATTGTAAATATCTGTACCATTTTTCATTTAGTCTATAGCAACATCACCTTCACTGTCTGTACCTCTGTGTGTATATTGTGTAGGCTGCCTCCCTCCCCTCTCTCTCTCCTTACATCCCTCTCTCTCTCTCTCTCTCTCTCTCTCTCTCTCTCTCTCTCTCTCTCTCTCTCTCCTTCACCCCAACCGGTCGAGGCAGATGGCCGCCCACCCTGAGCCATGGTTCTGCTCGAGGTTTCTGCCTCTTAAAAGGAAGTTTTTCCTTGCCTCTGTTGCCTAGTGCTTGCTCTTGGTGGGAACTGTTGGGCTTCTGTAAATATCATCATAGAGTACGGTCTAGACCAGCTCTTTTATGAAAAGTGCTGTGAGATAACTGTTGTTGTGATTTGGCGCTATATAAATAAAACTGAATTGAATTGAATAGACGGGTTTTTTTCTGAATATGTCCTCCTTTTACAGAATTGATTGGACAGATGAAGGCTCTTCTTCCTTTCATGAAAAAGATGATGGAGATAAAGACGACAGCTCTGATGAAGAGGATCTTCCACCCACTTGTATACGGTGTGTTATCGGTCAGTCTTTACTCTGCTATTGTTCTGTGATGCCAGCTTTTATTCAAATCTTTACACATATGCCTTCATGTTGTACCTCAACAGAATGGGTGGAGCATTAAAGAAAGCACCATCGATTGATCGACTTCCAGTTATTGGAACGGGCGAGGCAGCGCATGACCAGCCTGCACGTGAAGACCCTCCTGATGAGGCTTCTCCCTGTGATCAGGACCCTGTTTTCCCATCCCCACAGCAGGTCCTTTGTGAAGATGACATCGTTGGTGCCAGAGCTTCAATAGTATACGAGGACTGCTTGAGACAGCTGGCTACATTTCTGATCCTGCCTGTGAAAAAATGTACAGGCCTTTTAAAGACTGGTGTGGTGTGTGACTGTGTTGCCCCCTTTGAGATCAACATCACTTCCAAGGGCACAGCAACGAGTGTCGAATGGGTAAGTCCTGACAGTCGCAGCGTATCATAACTGTAAATTCCCATTAAAACACATTTGTAGTGAAAGCCAGTGCTGTACATGCCAAATGCAATCCTGCCTTTTCTTGGACTTTCAGATCTGTCCCAATGGACACAGCTTGTGGAGGTGGAATTCCCAGCCTGTAATGAAGTGTGGGACGCAAGCTGGAGATTTTCTCTTGTCCACCAACATTTTGTTGTCTGGCAACGACTATGCGAAGGTCGCCCTCTTGTTCAAGTTCATGAACATGGGGATGGTGAAGAAGAACACCTTCGTGTCCATTCAGGACGCTTACTGTGTGGACACAGTGAAGAGCTTCTGGGAAGAGAGGAGGACTGAGGCCCTCAGTGGCCTTCAGGGGAA